ATGCCACATTTGCAACAAAATAATTCAACATGACAGTTGCATCTTGTATTTCAGATCCTTGGCCCTTGTGTTTGACCAAATTGTAACATTTAAACTCAGAACACATTCCTGTCTTATCCGAAGGGAGGAAAAAAAAAAGTAAAAAAAAAAGTACCTTAATGAAAAATATTTCTTTTTTTTGACATACCTGTTTATTGCATGAATAGGTGGAGGAGGAGCGCAAGACAACCTGGCACAGGCATAGTAATCTCCTATTGATTCAATAATGCTAGCAACAACTGCGCTAAGCATTCCTATTACTCCAGCGGCTGAAATTGTTGGCAGTCCCCACTGAACTGTGAAGAAAAGAAAACTGAAATCTCTTGTGCCACAGAAAACAATTTAGATATCAAAACATACAGCAATTTATTAATCTTTAATGGAATCAACAAACTCCCTTTCACAGTAACACAGTCTGGCAAGTCCAAGTAGATGAAAGGAGCAAAGGAAAAACTGCCTAACCAACTGCTTTGATCATGCTTGGAAAACACCCAAAAAAACCCTGAACGCCACCAAAAAAATTCCTCCTGTTCAGAGGGAAGGAATTTGAACTACCGCTTGTGAAAAAACAATTCTGATCAGTGAGGCAAATGCCACTTAATTATTATTGCAGTGAAAACTCAGTCTTTGGTTGCAAGATTAGTCTACCAAAGAGAATGGCCAACAACCAGCTATGATCACTGCACAAACACCTTCCAAGTCCAAATTTCTGTAGAAGAGAAAATAAGATTAATTTAAGCCTGTAGAAAAGCTTGGCAGGTTTTCCACAGCAATTGCCTTGATGCTTTTATCTCTTTGAAATAGATGAGCCTCTTGCAACAAAAGGAACTTCAAGTCACACAAACGTGAATGAACAAGGCTTCACAAATAAGAAAGGTCTAATCAGGGTGGAGAAGTTTTCCTCTTCTTTCCCAAAAGCTTCTATTGTACATCTTGCAAGTACTGCTTTAGAAGTGGTTTCTTTTAAGAACTAATCAGAACCAAAGCATATGGAAAATCACAACGAAGCTGCCTCATTACAATGTAGTGGTATTTCTAACAATTTCTATTACTCTAGTAGAATATTATTCTATTATCACCCCATTAATTTCAGAGCAGCACAAGGGTGAACCAGCTGTGCAACTATCTCATGCCATAGGAAACAGCCTTTAACAGCTTTGAACTTAGAGGCGGCCAGCAAAAGAATACAAAGATCCAAGATGCTGTGTAAAGCATTTTGTGTTCTCCTGTAAATACTTTTTTGTCCTTTGATAAGCATTGACTGGCATTCTCTGACTTGCCCATCAGCCTGATTCCAATGCCACTTCTACAAGTCAGGACATTTTTGTGTAGTTGTTAACAGTTGTGCTAATTCAAGAACGCATGTGTTTGGGGCAGGGAAGTGGATTAAGCTGGAAAAAACTCCATGCACTACTGATTCTTTAGACAACGAGAATCAGTGGCTTCAGTAGCTCTACTACTCTATTACAACAGGAGTTGTAATAACCCATCTTTATTATTGTATAACATTAACAGCAGCTGACCACAGTATTGACAAGTACAGATAAATCAACCCTTCCCTGAAAATCCATGTTTTATATATACAGTCACACTATATTATTAGAAGTCAAGAGTTACCTAGATAAACCCTGCAAGTGCCTTCTACAAATTCAAGTTTCAGAGACTCAGTCTTTCTTAAGACATTAAGATATCAAATTAAACCGGAAAACAAGAAAAAAACCCATCATCCCCACCTACAATGTCTTTAGATCAGTGCATGTTGAAGTGCATCAGAATAGAGTACTGAGGGAAAAAAAAATAGCAATGCTTCTGAAAACATCAGAAATGATACTCACAGGCATATTATTAGAAAAACAGCCCTTAAAACCAGACATACTTACAAGGATAAGGAACCTTGAACCATGGAGCTACCAACAGCACTCCTCGTCGAGCGTCTGTGCGAGCGTAGAAGCCGTACTTCGAACTGTCAGGGGGAAAGACGTCTGTCACGGTGAAGATGAAGCAAAGCAACCATGACACCAAGATAGCTAAAATAATCTGTGAAAGAGCAGAAAAAAGCTGTTTAAAATAAACTATCATTGGCAATATTCATCAACAGCAAACAGTTCCTGCACAGAATATCTATTACACACATATCTGAGTGTGATCTTCAGTGGTATGTTAAGTCTGAACAAGCAGTTAAACCTGTAATAGATCCATTAGGTGGTCCCCCCCCCGCCCCTAACGACGGTGCTGTTACAAAAGCTTTAAAATTAGAGCAAGCCTCTTCTCTCCCCTAACAAATGGGAAAGTCTCCAAATGGGCACTTAAACAAAGTAGTGAATTAGTCTCAACTTTACCAGAGAAATAAAAAGAAGTCTTTCACATGGGGGAATGGAGTATTGCTTTCATAAAACTGCAAGATAATGATCTTGCCACCCCTTTTTGGAAGGTTCAGTTTAGGCTTTCACTGCATGCATAAACATACCTTCTTCTCTACACCCCCTTCCCTCCCCTCCATGATCTTCATCACTTCAATTACTCTTCATCAGAGATGGATACCAGAATGGAATCTGGCAAGACTACAATATGAGACTATTTCCTGTGGCAAATGAGCCATTTAGTTAAGTTTCCTATAAGCCCATTTAAGCTTTTATCTCACCTTTGTGATCTACTGTATTATTAAGAAAAAATCAAAACCAAGAACACCCCCCAACACAAATTAGGGTTTTTCTGCCAACTGAAGAACAAGTTCAACCACTTACAGGGAACATCTTGAAAAGCTGCAACCTGTATGCTGTCCATCCTTTCTTGGACTTGTAAATGGGTAAGGGAAATTTGACATTTCTGGCATACTGAGAAAACAACAATACTAGGAAAATCGTCCTGAGAAAAGGGGGGCGGGGAGAGACAAGAGACACATGTCATTAGCACCAATATCTTAAAAATCCTTCTCAGCACAAACCTCTTCAGGCTCTTCAGACACAGAATATATATGTGTATTTTAAAATTTAGCACAAGACAAAGGATCATAAGAGAATGTATTTTAAATAAATAATTATTCCACAAAAGCCAATACGCCACAATTTGTATTCTAAAGTGCTGCAACAACAGCCAGCAGCAAACAGGTAAATGAAACCAGGAAAATGAATCAGACTAGAGAAAGATCTTCAGAGCTAAGCACGCATTAGCAAAGAGCTACGCTGCGCTGCTTGCTTCTTTTCGACTCAAACTCTAACTATCTGTGTGTCCAGGTCTGCTCTGCATATGAAGCACAAAGGTTGCTGCTAGCAAATGGGAAGAAACAGGAAAACTGGAGGCCAGTATACCGTAATTTTGACATTTCAAAATTTTCACAAAACTCCGATGCACTTGAAAAACTTCTGTCAAGGGAAATTCCTTCTTCAATTCTTAAGAGTCCCAATTTTTTTTTGTATATGCATCTTTCACTAAACAGCTGTAAATCGAGCAGAATAGAGCCCAAACCCCCAAGATTCCATTCAACTGCAGTTCACCAGTAACCCAGTTTATTACAGTTTGTAGATGCCTCAAGTATTATGCATCGCCCCACCTTGTCAAAACTGCTAAGCTCCTCTGTATGTCAAAAATTAATTCAACTCTACAGCTAAAATAAGTGTCCACTGCAATGAAAAATAAAAAGCCAGGGCAGGTTGCTCAATTCTGAAATAGCCAAAACCAGTTTTGCTATAAAAAGGCTACCCGAAGAGTCAAGCTGTCTGAAGAAGCAAAAGCTTTTCTGAAATTTGAGATTATGTTTTTATCAGCTGACTTAAAAAAAAAAAAAAAAAAAAAAAAGGCAGATTTTAAGCTTCCCTCCTTTTTCTGTCCAAGATCAGTTTCAGTCTGTAAGAAACAAAACAGAGCTTTATTCTCCCTCAATCTCCAGGAACAAAGAGCTCTGCACAAGAAGGGTGTCATTTATAGCCTTTACCCCCAACTAGAGTCGAATGATAAAGGCACCTTTTCCTTGCATTCAGGAAACATTCTGGCATCTCTCCCAAAGCCCATTACAGAAAGATGGGCTCCACTCCCTAAGAGCAGCCATCCTGCCACGCTAGCCCTGAGGACAGGTGGCTTTGTATTTTGATTTATTTAGTCCAGAGCTGTAAATAATGTAGTATTATATTATTGCAAATAATATTATATTGGCTACATGGCAGGGGGGCTTACTGCCATGCTGTAAAATATTACCAAATCTTTAAATGCCCAAAGAGACAGTTTTGTTCACCAGACAGGCAAAGATCAATTCAGGAATAATTTCCCTTTTTACAGATCACAATGTGATGTGTTTTATGGATTAAACTATTTCAGCCTGGCACCCGCAGAACAAGCAAGGTCAGAAAACTGTTTGGGAAACTGAACGTCTTGTCAAATAGTCTCTGCAGCTAACAGAGGATAATAGCTTTACACAGGTATTGTTCTGCTGTGCTAGATAGTGATACGGTATTTTTATCTCATCGGAACAGTCAAGACAATTTCAAGCGCCACATCTTGTAGAGATCAAGTTACTTTTGAGTGGCTCTAGATGGCTATGGAGTTATTTTCAATGATCTAGTGCGCATTTTTGCATGGCAGAAACCAGAAATACTTACTGACTGGGTAATATTTAAATCCTGCTCCTAAATTGATTTATTTTTTTCCATCTGCAAAATGTCAACTTTAATTACACATTTCTGTGTCCAATTCACCAAAGGTCTGCTTGATTGATTTAACGTTAGTCCCAACTTGCACAGAATTTGTTTTACAGGAAAATAAAATGTTCCTTTGGGTCAGCTGCTTAACATAATAGAATTACAAAAATACTCATGATGCTAACATCCGAGATAAAAGAGAATTTAACAGCCCTTTTAATCATAAGCTGCACTTACAGAATACTTTACATGTTCGAAGTACTGTGCAAACAGATTAGTCAGATCAGAATCTCATCTCATCAAGGCATTCCTTCCGCTTCCAGAGCCAGCACTAAGTTGGTCGCCATACACTGCATATAGCAACTGCTTCAGCCAATTTCCTTCTCCCTAAAATGTGGTTTCCGTCCTTATTTGGCTGGTTATCCGCAGCATCTCACAGGAAGCTTTTGTCTTCTCTTCATCTCATTTTTCTCAGTTATTCCCTTTCATACCACTTATCTCAATTCCTTAATTTCCCTGGCATCTATACCTACAGAAGCACACACATCGTGCCCCGAAATTCACTCTAAAAGCCTTTTTATCTACTAAACAGAAATCTGTCTACTTAGGCCTCACTGACTGATGGCATTCATGGAAATACACATGCTCTCTGTCATCCTACAAATTTCTCTTGGCTACAGATAAGCAAACCACTAATAACGACAAATGGACCACTACTACCAGTGGTAGTTTGCTCCCTTTTGCAGAATGAGAAACATACACAATAGCATCATAAAAACAGAAACAGAAGTTGTTCGCTAATCGCTCTGGTGTTTTGCTAAATCACCTTTCCTGTAGCACTGAATTAGACCCAGCCAACGGCTCCCACACCAACTGTTGTTTTACAGAAGTCTCTGTTCTCCCCATTTGATTTTCAGCCGTCGTCCTTTCCTTCCTCCTCTTCTGGAGTTGCTGCTGTCCTTATTCCCCAATTGCCAGCTGACCCTATCCAGACCCACTCACATTCCTGCATGTGGTATTTCTCCATGCTGGGAGCACGGCAATGCTACCTTTGGCAGCCGAGCAGACTCTGGCTTTTCCCTGGCACTCCAAAATTCCTGCATGACGACTTACCAACTGGGACCCCCAGCCTAGGCCAAGAACACCCAGGAGTACTTACAACATGGCGATACCCCAGTGTTTGCCTGCTCTTTCTCCAGCAGCTTGGAAACCGGAGAGGCCGATGAGGGCAACAGTTGGCGTGATGGTCAGAGGTCCAATGTATCGCAACAGGGCGCCGGGAAGGCCAAGCAAACCGATTGCCACTTCTATCAAGGAGGACATGATAATAGCACCTTGGATCTGAACACACAAGAACGGGAAAGAGACAGTTCAGTCAAATCTTAAAAGCAAACCCAAACCATTTCTTTTTCTGCTCTGGATTACAAACTGCAGTTAAAAGAATTCAGTGACACAGAAGAACTCAGCAAATTTTTCGTCATAAAACAGCTCATTATGTTTAAGTGACTTATTGCTTAAGCATAACACTTATGGTTTTCTCCACAAAACTATTACACAACAGACCAGTGGGCCAGTCTGGTAGTTGTGTGGATAGCACATCACACTGTCAGACAGGAGACCTGGGTTCCAGGCTAACCTTTAAGCTCTCAGATCGAACCGGCAAGGGTTGGTGGCGCCACGGAGGTGATGCTCCTAGCTCCTAGGGGCAGAGTGTATGCTGCATTGTTCACAAGTGCTCCTTAGAAGCTGGTATAGAGCAGCGTTGTGGTCTCAGGAGACTGTCAGCCCTCTTGGCTGCAGGGCTCTTGGCAGGATGTAGCTATGGTTTGAAGATGGGGAAGAGAGAGGGGTTGTTTTTAATTAAGAAAAAGTTTGCAGCCCAAAGCAACGGGATGGGAGATAAATTCCATGACACACGCCTTAATTTGGACTACGCTATCTACCACTCTAGTGTGATGCCTGGGCACAACCCTCATCCTGGGCTCTGCAGAGCGTGATGAAGTTCAGACTGCAGTGCTGCGAGTGGAGAAGGAGTCTGATACATTTCAGCAAGTCTCTTGGGAGAATCAACATCTTATCAGAAGAGTCTCCAGCTTAAGACGCCTAGGGATGAACAGATTTGCTAACTGCATGTTTACCTTCCACGGGACAGCCTACTGAACAGAGTGACAGCAGGCAAGTGGTCTGGCAGCAACTGAACTGCTACCAGTGAGCACAAATAGCAAAGTGTTACAAGAAGAGTATTTGTCCTGCTTGTGCATTTTACTGCGCATCTTTTGGAATGTGGTAACTAACTCCTTGTATTTGCTGTCCAGCAATGAACAAGTTGAAAAGATGAGGACTTCCATGAAATGAGTAAAGGGATATATTCAAATGAAATCGCAGTGAAAGAAGAAGTTACCAACTTAAAGACGAGAACACACAGATGGTTAGGCGGTAAACTTAACTGGAATCAGACAGATCAACGGCTAAAGGCTACTCCTACATTACCTCTCGTATTCTGGGATACCAGATGTGCTCAGTGTGAAGCAGCTCTGTCGTTCCATTTGTAACTGCTATATCTTACAAAAAGAAGACAAGAAAAAACACAGGTATTTATTCGTCAGCCACTTCGCCATCATTTAATACAAAATAAATCTCTCCTTAAGCTGTGTCTGACAAATGAACCTTGATTTACACAGAACAGAAGTTCTGCAACACTACAGATCAAGTAATAACATGCTTACATTCCCCAAGAGCTAACCACTAATCTTACCCACTGTACCAGAGTGGAAAAAAAATCCTAACTTTCAGAAAGAAAGGTCAATTAGGGATTCCTTTCCCACTCCAGTAAACGGATGAATGGAGAATTACTCAACTGCACACTAGGCATCTAGTACTCCAACATTTGCTGTTCACCAATTTAGGTCACTCACTGAATGATGAACAGACCCGTGGTTACAACCCCATCTGACACCTTTTGAAGGTTAAAAGGTTCAAAGTAAGATGCAGCAAAGGCTCTTTCTGAAAAGCTGAAGTAGTGGAAAAACTGCTTTGCCAAAGGTTATCAGACAGTATTTTCTTTCAAGAAGGTGTGTGTTAGGTTACTGGCACGTTTTGATGCACAGAAATACCCAACACAGCTAGCGCTACTAAAGCACACCACAGTTCGCCTTTACAGCTTGGGCACTGAGACCCATGTGCTATTTCCCAGTAGCTAAAACTGACTCCCCCAGTGAGAAAATGTGAATGCTCAAAGCTAAGTTTTCTACAGGAAAAACATCAGGAAAACCAATTAGATGGTCGTAAGTGAATCAAGAGAGATATATAAACACATAAATAATATAAGTGATAAGAGAATCAAAAGGACCCCTGGGAAAAACTTCAGTTAGAAGCAAGCAGCCTGCTTCTCTATACTGCTGTCTCGCACTGCCCACAGCCTTATTACCGAATAACACACCCCGTTAAAGAAGCTTCCGCTTCAGTTTTCTAACCTAACTTAAAGAAAAAGCTCCACACCCAAGCAGTTCTACTGCACATTTTCACTCTAAAGAAATTAAAAACATTTCAGGATGATTAAGTTAGCAAAGAAAAAGTTAAAATGAACATCCAAATATTGTGAAAGCTTGCTCTGCAAAACCTGTCAGGTATGAGTTAAACAGGTAAAACTACTGGTCTTGAGGTGATGCTGAACATCGCTCAAACTTACTACTAAACTTACAAGGACTCGATTGGACTTACTGTATCTAAATACCAGAAAGGAACATTTAAGGAATCCTTCTGCTTTTATCTACATTGTTAACAAAAGAATTGCTGTACACTACTGCTAGATTTCTTTTGTCAACATTAAAAAAAAAAAGAAAAAGCACAAAACCAAAAAACCAACCAGAAACAGAATTCCACAAGGGCATTTTTAGGAATCTTTTTCCAAGGCACAAAGTTTTAACGTTGTTAAAGGAGAGAATTTTTCATATTCCCTGCTCATTACTTCCAGTTTCCATATCAAAAGATTTGGCAGTTGCACTACATGTGATCTGGGTCATTTGTCCCTTAAACCTGAACAAGCATAAAGGACAGTTACCTGTATTATTACATTTCCACTTCTCCAGGGAGAGTATTGCTCTAGCAGGTGCTAAGAATGCAAAAGCACTCGCTTGAAACAAGGGTAACCTGGTGGAAATGGAAAGAAGAGATGCTGACATTTCTCGGTGTTACGGTACTGTGTCAGGATATCAACTGCAGTTAGGTGGTTACTCATCCTCAAAACCATCTTTTATTGGGGGCTATTAAAAATGTGAAAATTTCTTAGTAAAAAGAACAGACATAGAAATACTAAGACTTCACAAACCAAAGACCTAACAGAAGACACTACATGCATAGAGTTATTAATACAACGCC